TGGCTCATTGGAAACGAAATATAAGAACTGAGGAGCAGCTCAAGATTTTGCACAGTACTGTATTTTAAACATGAAGTTACAGTCAGCTGTCAAGTTCATCTTAATTAAACATAAATAATGGAAACCTAGCCTCTGTCTAAAGCACATGCAGTCCAGCTATCAAAACATTAGCTCATTGATTAATATATATGATGTATATGATTCAGCACAAAGGTAAGAGTAAAAGTGACAAGTTGTGATTTGATGGATTAGACCTTGCTAGTCCTTTCCTGGTTTGAGCGAGCTGAAAAAGTTCTTACCCTTCAATGAGATTTTCAAAACATTTCAAGGTTTTGTGTAGAAAAAAATGGGACTCACAACTAAAATGAATTATTTCCTGCCCGCAGACCTGTTCATAAATCTCTTCAGCTCACCACAGCTAAAAAAAAAAAAAAATTTCAAAGTACAATTTTACATCAGAATTTTCATAAATCTGTTTGGAGGTATTTTAAATTTATTATAAAAAAGAAGCTGCATTCACATCATCAACATGTTTGAACTCTGGCATCTTTTATAGGTCAGTATAAAGCTGCTTGCTTTGTTGGCATTGTCTTTTTCTCTGTGCAGATTCTCAGTTTTATTTTATCCCTCTCACATGCACGTTGCCCATAAGACATTAATGTCCTTTGACAGGCTGGTAAGGTCAGCCCTTGGGCTGTGTGAAAGCTTCACTCCGGGGGATTGTTGTGGAGATGGACAGATATTCTCCCCTCTTTCCCTAGATACATTTATTAACTAAAAACTGCTACAGAATCTTTATGAGGTAGTCAGGGATAGGAAGCTCCTTATGTTCCCTGCAGAGAAGGAAAGAATACATAGAAAAAGAGGTAACAGAGTTAGAGAATACTGGAAGCCACAGACAAACATTATCAGTCAGTCAGACATATAAAGCTTGTTGTATGTATGGCTGGCCTTGTTTGGGTTTGTTCAGGGAGAAAGAGAGTAACAGCTTGTGTGTTAAATCATTTTCAGGTGACTGACATTTACAGATACACAGACAAAACAGAATGACAAAGCTTTTTCAGTTTATTTATACAGAGGCAGCTCTAACATCTTCTACATTACAGTTCTTTA